GGATTACTGCAATGGCCTGCTCACAGGTATCTCCAAACATGCAGTAAAACAGCTGCAGTATATTCAAAATGCTGCAGCCCGAGTCCTGACTAGAACCAGGAAGTACGACCACATTAGTCCGGTCCTCAGGTCTCTGCACTGGCTTCCCGTGGCCCAGAGGATAGACTTTAAAGCAGCTCTCCTGGTGTACAAGTCTCTCCATGGCCTTGCACCAAAGTACATCCATGATATGCTAGTCCCATATGAACCAGCCCGGACTCTGAGGAGCGCAGGGACGGGACTCCTGTTAGTGCCCAGAGTCAGGACTAGACAGGGGGAGGCTGCTTTTCAGATTTATGCAGCTAAAGTCTGGAACAGTCTTCCTGAGGATGTGAGACTGGCTGCCTCTCTGTCAATGTTCAAATCCATGTTAAAGACTTTTCTTTTTTCCCGTGCATACAACTAGAGAATTTTATCTTTTTAACACACCTTGTTATTTATTGTTGTAACTTTTTGTGTTTTTAACTATTTTATTGTTTTTAATTACTTGTGTGATTCTTATGTTTTTAAATTACTTATGTGATTTTAATGCTTTTTAATTACATATGTGTTTTTTAATTGTATTTTAATGGTGATGATTTGTGCATTGTGTGGTGTGGACTGTGAGGCGCTTTGTGTTGCCCTGTGCAGGAAAAGCGCCCTATAAATAAAGATTGATTGATTGATTGATTGATAACAATCCGTCAGCTCTGAGATAGTCCAGTGGTTGTGTCGATGGACTGCCAATCCAGATACTTGGGTTCAAATCCCACCTGAGACACATTTTCACACTCAAAACGGCAATTTATGTATAGTGAGCAATTGTCACCTGTAGAGTGCAGTATTGTGTTGGGCATCAGTGGAGAGAAGAGAGAAAAGGCAGTCCTGTGGCATAGATCCATGGTTTTCAACGCATGGGCGTAACCCGCTATGACGTCACACAGATGTTAGAGCATAGACAACTTAAATTCATGAAAAACAAGTTCTTTTTATAAAATATAGGATTTTTTTTGCCGGAATCTCTTTCAGATTGACATTGTCATGCAATTTTGATATCCACTATTTTTTTTTTTTTAAACCCGTCATAAGGTCTTTAAAAGATGATAACTGGACTTTGAGTTGCCTTGTGAATTGCTTTGTACAAGTTTTGAAATAATTCTGATTGATTTGTAGTTTAAAATGTCACTCCGCAAGATAAGAAAGCTTGGTTGTGGCTTGTTATCTAACAATTCTCACACATGTTACAGGTATTGTCTGCAGTAGTGGAAAATGCTCTTGTCCTGATGAAGTAATTGTCCTGCAGCGCCAGTACTCCGCAGCTGTTGCTTTGAATCCCAATGACTTTCCTTTAAACATTCTGCATTGCACCCGGTCGACGCCTCACACTTAAACAAGTCCATCTTTCGTGATCCGACACCATTGATCCATACAAGGTCCAGGCCTGGATTTGTCCGTGTCCCGAGGCGTCCGTTAGTCTACCGTTAAATCTTAACCAAGGACCAGCTCTATGTTGAATCAATGCTTGTATGAGATTGGATGAAAAAAAGGATTTTCCTGCATTTTACTCTCAACCTTGAACATTATTTGAACAGTATTGCTTCTGCTCAATAGGAGTGAGCTGAAAATAGCAGAATACCAACACCCCCACCCCCAAACTCAATACAATCAACTTTTCATATCACTAATAAAATAGGACAGAACAGTGAAACAAATGCACACACAAACTACATCTGTACATCCTGGATTTTGGAATAATCAACAGTCAACAATTTAACAGAATGAGGAACAGGTCATAAAATTAGTAATGTCTTATTGAGATTAGCCTTCCTGACTAGAGGCCCGAGAGCGAGGCCGGAGAGCGAGGCCGAGAGCGAGACCGGAGAGCGAGACCGGAGAGCGAGACCGGAGAGACCGCGAGACCGGAGAGCGAGACCGAGAGCGAGACCGGTGCTTGAAAAATGTGTTCTTTCTTGACATTTGTAAGAGCAAAAGATTATTTTTGAGGCTTTATTGATCCAGTCATCGTTTGATTCTTGCCATTTTGAGATGAGAGAGAGATTGAGATAAAAGCAGCGTTTATGTATTTCAATCACAAATGTTCATGTGGAAGCATTTGGCGAGTACGGAGGAATAACTGGAATGATAAAAACAGAATGAGACCACAGTTGCATCAATGGTGCATCATGAAATCACAGCACATTTCTGGCAGAGAATCAGCCACCTGCTCGGATCACAACCAGATAATGTGAACATATAAATCACAATGAATGGCTTTATGAGTTTTGAAATGTGTGTTTTGACCTCGCCAACAAACAATTACATTTTGGAAGTGATCAGGACTCACACCTGGATGTAGGGTTTGAATGCTTTTCTCGTTCTGGTAGTGTTCATTTTTTTTCTTTGGTGAGGCTACTGAAATTTAAGTCTGGGTCGGTTATTACAACTAGATTTCTGATGTGTGGATTTGTAGGGAGATACTAGAGGTGACGGATACAGAGCTCTCTTAATGTTTATAGACAGAAGGAAATTTAGTTTAGCTCACTGATCTATTGGCTGCAGTGAAGGAATGAGTCCACAGGTCCATGTTCTCTCCTGTAGTCAGTGAGACGGATCCAGGTTTCATCTGCACAGTTCTGGTAGGTCAGTTCATACGCAATAACCACATGACCCAACTGCAGCATGTAGATCAAACAGAAGAGGTCCAAAGATTGAACCCTGTGCCACTGAGCAGGTTAGGGCCATCTGATCTGAGACAAGATCCTATCTCCGAAACCAGCTCAGGTTATCAACAAGGACACCCACCCAGTCTTCTAGTCTGTCTGAGGATCTCATGGGTCGACAGTGTCATTAGCACAACTAAAGTCAGCCTGTCATTTGTCATGTACATGCAATTACAGCTTAAATAAAGCAAGGTTAATAAATGCATCCCTGGTTCTTTTGTAGGGTTTTATGAGCCTCTGGGCAAAACGGTAACCATCTCAAACCAATGTATGCTATTAGCAACAGAAACAACAAGCCAAGCCATCATGGTATAATGTATTCATAGCCTCAGCAGTAGAAAGTGTACCATGTTGATCAGTTGTAGATATCTCCTTATTGAACAGGCGACAGAATTTGCAGAACAACAATGATTTGAAATAGGTCAGGTCGTCTTCCTTCACAAGATATAATCAGTTTTGTCCTCATGCCCTCCAATGTGTTGCGCAGGCGAAGCCCAGTCGTCAACAACAATCAACACGCACGTAGAATGAAGACAAATTATGATATTATAAAGTGACGTAGCCTCACAGAAAGAGACTGTAGCATAAAAAGGGAAAACTAAATGAACAGTAGAAAGGTAAGTGCGGACAATATTATAGGGAGTTCTTATCGTGTTGTGTAAGGAATAGCTGTTAAGATGATAAAATTATGCATTGGAAAGTCGGCATAGGAGAATAGCTTAGTTCAACACAAACATTCAATAAATCAATGCTGGTGACGATTAATACTCAACTATGGAAGCGACAAGGCAGAAAACCAGCTGTTGGTTGACCCCCTGACTCACATGTATGTACCCAATATTGACAAGTCGACTTTTATATTGCACTTGTTTAGACCTCTCACCTCTTGCTTTCAATGGGCTTCCATAGATTACACATTTCATCAAGTGATCAATACAGACGATTACGACGGAAACTGAAGTTATCGTTTCCATATGTTGCCTGGAAATGTCAATCTGTGGATAATTACTGACATAAAAGTGTGAGTCAAACTTCTCATGACCACATGGAAACGGACTAGTAGACCGCATAGTCCAGTGTTTTTTAACCCAGAGTGCCTTGACCTGTATTTTGGTGTGCCTTTGTTAATAATCCAATATCACCTCATTGGTAAAAAATAAACAAGAAATGAGTAGATCTGAAAGAAGTTTTTGGGCTCTTTCGATTTTATGTATAAACTACTATGATGAGAAAGACATGGCTTTGCTAATAAAGGCTGCAAAGTTCAATTTTTGTATCGGTTTGGTGGCATTCCAAAGATTATTTTCAATGAGAAAGGTGTGCCATGAGTCAAAAAGGTTGGGGAACACAGGCATATATACAATAAATGTGTTGTGTTGTGTTGGATTGATTTGCTTCCAGCCATAACACGTATATTACTCAGGAGAAAAATAACTTTGCTTCAACTCTGAGCCAGGCCTGTTGCGATATTCAAAAAAAATCTATTAATCGCATGATGATTCAAATTAACTCAATAATTTTTCTCGCAGCGATATTCCATTTGCATGCTTGTTTGTTTGTTTTCCTCGTCTCTCTCTCTCTCTCTCTCTCTCTCTCGGGTCAGAGAGCCGCAGTGGTCACGGAACATCAGCGGTCTATCGAGCAGACTGAAATAACTCAAAAATACAAAATACAGCCAAAACAGGACCTAAACCAGGACTTAACCAGGATTGACAATAGGGGACACAGTAGTTGGGAACATATGCCAGCCTGAGCTCATTCAGGCTCTAGTAGTGACTAAACTAGCGCAGCTAGCGTTAGCGTGTTCTCCGATGCTGAAGTACCGTTTAATGATAAAATAAACTTATGGCGCACCTCCGTGAACACATACTACTGTTATATAAAGTCTCTGGAGGGCCTCTGGACAAAGAGACGCTGCAGAGCTGCATTCTTGGCGAAGAACTTTACACAAAAAGTCGCTAACTTAACTCTGTTAGCATCAAAGCCTGCCCGCTACTGCCGCCACTTCCGGCAGTGGTCTTTAAAAATAAATTATTTTTATTTCTCTCTGAAAAAGTGTACCTGCATCATTATCATTGTATTAGATGAAAATGATCTCAGAACGACAATATTATCGCTTATCGCAATAGTTTGAGACAATTAATCGTCCAGCAAAATTTGTTATCGTGACGGGTCAACTCTGAGCTGTTTCACTGAACATTTATAAGGCCTGGATTTCTTTGCACCTCGCCGTTACAATTGATTTGCAGTCAGAATACTCACTTGCGTGCTTGTCTGCCAGCTGAATGAGACTGTGTGAGATGTCCCTCCGTCTGTAGAAACATACAACTTTGGCCTCGACATTTCCACTGGCCGTCTGCAAAAAAGAAGCAACAACTAATTTAAATAAATATCACAAATAATTACAATAACAAATGCAGTCATTGACAATCATAATAATTAGCTCTATTGTCATTAAAAAACTCCAAACACAAAACAAATAAAACAATAAATTGTTTTCTTTAAATTATATCTTGTTGCAAGTATTAAATCTTCACTTTTTTCAATATACAATTTATTTATTAATATACAATACATTTATTGTACAATTTAAATTACTTTTCTTGTTTTGTGAAGCACTTTGAGTATGAACTACGCTCTACAAATAAACTTGCCTTTTAGGTCAATTTGAGCAAGCTGAAGAGAAGGCACTGGAGAGACTTGTTTTTTTAAATCAGAAAAACCATGCAAGTAATCTTTATTTTGCACAAATCTTGAGTGATTCTATCCATGCCAGATGTGACATGTAAATTTCTCCTGTGTGAGATCAAAAGTCTATCTTATATTTTGAGTCTTAAAATCTCATTTCATAGCAACGGATGTTCACAGGACCTAGCGATAGATTAACAAAATTTGTGACTGTTTTATTGAAAAAAGGGAAAATAGTTCCAATAAATTGATTCATTGTTAGACCCTTATGTTTTAGTTTTGCTTAAACTGAAAAGCGTTTTTTTTTAAATTAAGGAAACATGGTTTTCATTTAAATGCACGACAAAATTAAAATGATTGTATACCGACACCAGGCTGCTCAGACCGGTTTATGGGAAAAGCTGAGTCCGGTTGGGTTAGTTTAGTCCATTGTTAATTTCTCCACTGTGAGATCATCCTTCCATCTTCTTCCTCTTAATCCATTTCTGGGTCAGGGGTTGACGATCAGCTGCCACCCAATTCACAGAACACCAGCCCCTCATGATCCTCCTGCAGGCGATGAGTCCACAGGAGGATGGCTGCTCTGTCAGTGATGACAAAGCCTTGATATTTCAGCTGGGGTTTCAGGCCAAGTAGGGTTAAAGGCGCTATACCCGTTTCTGCAATGTTTGAATGTTTAGCACCACCCCCCAACTCGCTCAATGGCTTCTCATTTCCCCTACGCTCTCATCCCACGGAGCCACCTAGTTTTATTTGCGATCTAATACATATGCTAACATTAGCATTAGCGCAACTTCTTGTAAGCTGTGCAACAATCACTGATGAAATGGTACAAAAGCAATGCACTGCTAACACAGTATATAAGTAAAAGAATACCGCTAGTTTCGCGTCCGAATGAATTAATTTAAACATTAGAATATATTCTAATATTGAATTATAATTTATTATACAGCTCCTCACAGCAGCAGAAGACACCATTGACTTGAATGCAATTATTCCGATCATTTTTTCTTGATAACAGAACTCTCAAACCAATAATGACCGCAGCCCCAATGCAATCTCTGTTTGTAATTCAGGTGTGTAAAATACTGACATTACTTTGCAAGTACAACAAGCTATCAGCGCCTGTCACTACACTGTGCAGTTTTTCTGCACACTTGTCTGTGTAGAGAAGCTAGCGGAGCTAGCCACGCTCAATAAACAAATACATATCAATCAATCAACACCATTAAACGTTAATCAGACAATAGAGTATACATATACATCCTTAACACACATGCACGGACGATTTCATAATTTTCTGTCAACGTTTTCATGACAAAAATACTGTTTTAAAGTGACAAAAAGCGATCGCAAAAAACCCGGAAGTTACCATGAAACAGCTAGCTAGCTTAGCTGTTACCTGTTACATGTAGTAAAAAGCATTTTTATGAACTATTTTAAAAAAAAAATCGGGTATAGCTTAAGTGTCTTGACCAAGGCACACAACGACAGCAGACATCAGCGGGAGTACATGTCTGCAGTCAACTCCAGCTGTGAGATCAATAATGGTTTATCTTATCTTAGGCCCCGTTTAGACGGAGACACTGCAAAGCAATTAGCAAAAACAAAATGAAAACTTTGAGTGGTTTGGTTTGGACAAAAAAGGAGTAAATTCTCCTCCGTGTAGCGCACAAAGCACAGGTTAGCATTAGTGTACCCGCCGCCATTGTTGTGCGGGAAGTGCCGAAGTTCACCGCTTTTTCTTCACGCAGCGTATGTGTTCTGTTCCACTCTGGAGGCGGTTTATAAACGCTTTGATTTTCACCCTGAAACACTGTCTTAATGTAAACAGAAGGCCAAACCGATTCCCAACTCTAACAATTTACTGTCGCAGCGTCTCAGGGCTTTAATCAGACCATTTAAACACACTGCTTAGTACAATGTAGACTTAGTAGACTTTATTGATCTCACACAGGAGAAATTTACATGTCACGTTTGGCATGGATAGAATCACTCAAGATTTGAGCAAAAGAAATAAGTGTGCAAACAAGCTAAAGGCAAAAGTGTCTTTTCAGGATATATTAAGTACAATAAAAGAGTGGCAATTAAAGAAACAGTGGCAGTAGTGCAGGTTTTTAGTCCTAGTGCAAGTGACTTAAAGTGACTTATTGTACAGTCTGACAGCGGTGGGGATAAAGGCCCTGCGGTAGCACTCCTTGCACCGAGGGTGCCTCAGTCAATACTGTTAAAAGCCCTTTTTTATGCATTCTGTGTCACAAGCCTGCTTTGAACTGTCATCAAACTACAGTGTTGTGATGGCGTGAACAGGGCCGCAGCTGTCCTATTGATCACATGATTGATGGAAGAGCTTTGTAATTACTTTTTGTGACTGAGAAATGGTCAGTTTGATGCTTTCTCTGTGATAATAACATAACCATGGACCTGACCACACTGAAGATGGTTAATGTGATAATAACATAACCATGGACCTTACCACAATGAAGATGGTTAAGCTGAGGTGCTGTGTTAACCCTCTATGCACATGGGTCATTTTGGGGAACTTTCCTCGCCTGGTTTTCTTTGTGTATAATTGTTCATAAAACAGTCATCTTTTGATGCAGAGTCAAGCAGTATACTTTGTTTTTTTCAGTACAACCTGGGGTTTTAGAATATTCATATTGTAAAGCTGTCATATGAATTATATAAAAATTATGGAATCATGAAGACAAAGAAAAAAATCAAACGGAAAATCAATTTAACAAAAATGTATTGAAAAAACACAATGAAATGCTATAAACAACTTTTTACACTGCATAGAATGTTATTTATGGTCTTGGGGATAATGGGGAAAAAAATTGAATCTCTAACTATTATAATTTTTACAAAATTCCACTATAAAAGCAAAAAACTGTACTCCTGATGCCCTTCCTGAAGCAGTTTGTCTATAATGCTGGGGTTGCTTCTGTAGCACAGCTGTAAAAAACGTAAAACATAAGAAACTGAGCCAAAAAAAAAAAAAACATCAGTTATTTATATAATACATATATTTATATACATCATATACACATAAGGTCATTTTACTGTATTTATTATCGTCTTTATCAATAATGCGCACTCTTCAGCCGGTTATTGCAATCGCAGCTGTAGTTTCAACTGTGGGACAACAAGTAAACGCAGAGGAGTGAGAGATCTCACTCTCTGACGATCTTTGGCAGTCGGACACGGACTTTCAGACAAACGTAGTTTATCCTCCGTGCATCGCACAGACAAATCAAAACTAGTTTCGGAAAGCCCTGAAGGAAAAAAAAGTAAGTTGCTAAGTTTTACCGTTCGCGAGTAAATTGATCATTTGTAAAACATGTGCGCCGATGCACGCGGGCATATAGGGTGCTTTTTTCTGTCTACCTACTTTACCTTTGTGAGCAAGTTTTCTCTGTAATGAGCCTTAAAACAAAGCTAACATACAAATATTAATATACATATTGTGAAATACCATTTTCAATGTAATATTGTAAATACATTACATTATTTGCACTATGGAAAACTCGCTGTTACATTTAAGTTTGTAACAGAAAACTGAGTATTAAAGGATACTGTTTTAAAGGAAGTTTTAAATAAATGTGTTTATGTGCACAAAAATTTTGACTTTGTACCGTTTTTGGATATTTTTGTAGAGCATCTCCTGGTCCGGCCCACTTGAGATCAGATTAGGTTGTATGTGGCCCCCGGACCAAAATGAGTTTGACACCCCTGCTTTAGACACTTTGCACAGAGTCAGTAGCGAGAACAGTGTTTTTCAGAGTCAGGGGAGACAGCAGCAGTAGGAGAGTCGCGGTGACGCGCTTCACCTGGATGTCTGGGCAGACTGCTCAACGCAGCATTTGTATTTTTTACTATTTCCATGAACATTTACAATGTTACAGTGTGAGTTCTGTTAAGCCTAGCGTACATCGACAGAGAAACTGGGGACAACTAGTTGCAAGGCGTCTTTTGGCAACTGAGAGGAGATGGTGGGAGATGATCAGTTGCCGAAATCGGTTGATGTGCGCGCTCTTACAACTGGAGATGATCAGTCAGTCTCCAGTTTCAGTCAGTTGCCCGTGTTCTACTTTTCGGCAACTAGTTGTCCTCAGTTTCGGAGATATGACCCGATGTGCGCGCTCCATGCGCCGCTCCGACAACGTGTGTGTATTGCGTGTATTGCGAGCCTGCAACAGTTTATGTCAGAAAACACACTGTAGTTGAGGCCAGTTGCTGTCGATGTACGCGCTGTTATTCCCGAGACTGGTCTGCTACTGGGAGTTGCCCGTTTTCGCCATATTGTCGATGTGTGCGGGGCAGCAACTCATAGGCGACAGATACAGTATAATCAGTTGCCAGTATGCGACGGATATAATCAGTTGCAAGTCCGATGTACACTAGGCTTTAGTGTTCATGTCCTAGTGATCAATATATTCAGTTAGAAAAATAAAAAATATTGTATGAAAATTCTAAAATCTACCATTTCTAACGCCATATGACGCCATAATATGCAAATTATATTGGTGGATTTATCCATTTCCATCCATCCATTTTCTTCCGCTTTATCCGTTGCCGGGTCGCGGGGGCAGCAGTCTAAGCAGAGACGCCCAGACTTCCCTATCCACTCACACTTCCTCCAGCTCGTCCGGGGGGACCCCAAGGCGTTGCCAGGCCAGCTGAGAGACATAGTCCCTCCAGCGTGTCCTAGGTCTTCCCCGGGGCCTCCTCCCGGTGGGACGTGCCCGGAACACCTCCCCAGGGAGTCGTCCAGGAGGCATCCGGAACAGATGCCTGAGCCACCTCAACTGGTTCCTCTCGACGTGGAGAAGCAGCGGCTCTACTCCGAGCTCCTCCCGTGTGACTGAGCTCCTCACCCTATCTCTAAGGGAGCGCCCAGCCACTCTGCGGAGGAAGCTCATTTCGACCGCTTGTATCCGCGATCTCGTTCTTTCGGTCATTACCCAAAGCTCATGACCATAGGTGAGGGAGGGAACGAAGATTGACCAGTAAATCGAAAGCTTTGCCTTCCGGCTCAGCAACCTCTTTACCACAACGGTCCGATACAGCGACCGCATCACTGCGCACGCTGCACCGATCCGCCTGTCAATCTCACGCTCCATCCTCCCCTCACTCGTGAACAAGACCCCAAGATACTTGAACTCCTCCACTTGAGGAAGGACCTCTCCACCCAGCTGTAGAGGGCAAGGCACCTTTTTCTGGTCGAGCACCATGGCCTCGGATTTGGAGGTGCTGATTCTCATCCCACACTCGGCTGCAAACCAAGATGTATTCTCTACATAAACTTTTGACCATCCTTAATAATTTTCTAATTTACAGAAAGCCTTTATCTCTTATCACTTTTAAGTTATAGCCTTTTGAAATGAAGACGTCACAATCGAGCGTTTTGGACAAAAACCTCTGGCGCTTAAAGGGTTAAGTCCAAAATAACACAACACTTAAAATCACATGTATAGAGTAAGAATACTTTGTGCTGGTTTTGACAACCACAAAGCGTTGTTCTGAGGCTCACTCCACTCGGATCTAGCGGCGTTATAGATTAGTTTAAGATAGAGGGCACCAGCAGGGAGAAAATCCTGCAAAACTGCTATGCCAGATCTATGCCTTGTTAGTCTAATCTGGAGGTTTAGAGTTCTAATTCGGCCAGGGAAATCAGAGATTGTAATAAAAGAAGCACTGACGATTAGCTGCTTATAGTTCTAGTTTTATTAACTAAACACAGGGAAAGGGGTAGAGTAACGAAGGATTTAGTCACATAAAACCAGAATGATCAAATCACATTCCAAATCATAACACAACAACCAGTACAGGGTTTAGTTTGATCTTACTATGAGAAGAATGGGACAATCATCGAGTCTCTGGCTCCTCACCAGCGTGTTCTGGAAGTGAAGCGAACACGCGGCTATTGTTCTCAACAGGATAGGATGGGATGGGAGGCCTCTGCGATGGCTTGGAAAAGTCTCTCATCCGTGTAATCCGTCCAGGTGTGGTGGCGAACAAAAGGGCTGTTGTCCTCAGGAAAGCCCGGATTGGAGCCGCGGTCATGGTTGACAAGGGCTTCTTGTCTACGGGCAGCAACCAGTCCTTCCCACTCACACGCTTTCTGGGTCTGCGCGTGCGGCTGTACCTCACAGAACGGCTTGGAGTGAGAGTCCAATGAGAGCCCAAAGACAATGGCCCGCGGCACCTTCTTGTCCGCAGTGGCTGATATGCGCTGTCCTCCGTGTTGGAGCCAGGGAAAAGAGGGCAGGGAAAAGAGGGCGCTCGATTTCTTGAACAGAGTTGCAGAGTTTCGTTGCCTGGCCACGGCTTGTATCGAGTCCATCTCAACACACGTAACACAAAGAGTTTCAATGAGCGTGGAAGTTTCAGTGGTTTCAAAGAGCTTACATTTCCAAAAAGAACGAGCTGCGTCTGCACCCGACTCTTAAACTCCGGGCCTGGGGGCGTGGTTTGAGCCGTTCACTTCCTGGTGGAGAAATTTTAAAACACAAAGCTTATGACTACATACATGTTCGTTTGACATAAGAAAACACAATTTCATTACAGACAAGATACACACGTTTCTGGTTTAGGATTTTAGCAAAACAAAACGTATCATTCATAGTCCGTTTCAGATGTATAGGCGTCCCGCGTCCACTAGGGGGTGGTAGAGCGCAGTCCAAAGTCTCTGGCCCCCTCTGTTGGCAAGGCATTGTTCTATTGAGACCGTTTGGCGTTTCTGAGGTGATAACACGGTCCTTTGAAGTAGAGGTTCCTTTGTCTTTGGGTTTGCCTTCGGGCCATTTAGGGTCCAAGGAGTGATAGCAGTTATTTGAAAGTGGAGTTTGCTCTGCCGGGGTTTGGAGACAGGCTTGTAATTTAATTAGTGTTTGGTTAGCGAGGCTCTGTGGCTAGACTTCTTATCCTACACATGTTTGAATCTGCTGAACAAATGTGGTCATTTATAATAGGCACACCAAGCATTATGTCAAGGCACTTAAAGCACTTCTCTAAACCATGTATTCGCTGTCTTCTGCCAATCCCTTTCCACATGGTTCCCTTCTCCTTCCTCTCCATCTTCTCCCCTCTCTGTCCTGCCTGCAGTCAGACGTGGGGGGCATGAAAACCCTGCAGAGGCGCTGGACCACCTTCCTGAAGGCCCAGCTGGTGTGTGAGGACAAGCCCACCGGACAGCGCTACAATGTGCTTACAGATGTGTTCACCACGGAGCACCTGCCTGGAGACCCCAGCAGTACACACTTCTATGGGCTCTTCTCCTCCCAGTGGTGAGACCCCAGCAGCACACATTTCTCCAGGGTTTCCTCTTCCAGTGGTGGGACTCGCACATAGATAGATAGAAATACTTTTTTGATCCCCCGTAGGAGAAATTCAGGTGTCCAGCAGCAGAAAACTCATACAGGTCTGTTGTACAGTCTGACAGCCAGCTGAAGGAACAAAGGATCTCTTAAAATGTTCTGTTCAGCAGCGCTGACCCAGGACCCAGTTTTGAGCATTAATGTGGGAAAGTCCAACTATACAATATAAGTATTGGATAGAGTTTTAATGTTGTTTCCTTACCGGTGGTGAGGCAGGATGCGGTGCCGTGTCTTCTGCATTGCCTAGCTCCGTAGGTTAGCTCATTGACAAACTCCCAGGGGCCAAAATCCTGGCTCTCCTGGTCCTGGCTCTCCTGGTCCGTCTGTCTCTGTTTTTTCGAGAAAGGCGTTCTAACTATTTACCAGAACAATGTATTCACCTCCTTCAGCCGTGGAAGGTTTAAAACTAAAACAAGTTGTCGTGCTACACATATTAGCATTTCTGTTTGTTTGTGTTGATCACATTAACGTGTCTGCACTTCTGTGGGCTGCACCACAGACTATAATTGACGTCTCGTGTATCCAATCAGAAGATACGTTTCCCTGGGGCCTGCTAGCAGGCCTTGAAAGTAGGAGACTTGACGCTGATTGGCCAATGCCACAGGTTCGTTTTCATTGACTTTAGCTAGCGGGGGCCAGCATTGTAGACTTTGAAGGCCTAGAGGCAGATTCTGGGCCATAGCAACATATGACGCTGACCAATGATTGGATAAAAACACTGTTAGACGCCAGACCTCCCAAATGCCGACCTGAAGTTGGAAGCTGCGCAACCAACGTAGTTTGTGGAAAAATAAAAATAGAAAAAAATAATAAGCAGAAAAATTATACATTATATTTATTTATAAAATATATATAAATAATATATATAATCATGTTTAATCATGTTTAGGCCAGCAGAGAAGGCCTTGCAGGCATTGAGTGTCCGCCACTGTTGCTACGATGAGTGGACAGAGGATGCCCTGCGTTAGAGCCCTCATCCTTCTCTCCAGCACAGCTCCCACAGAGTCCACACTTCTCCCCATCACGGAAACACATTCCCTGATCAGCCTGTTGAGCCGGTTACTGTCTCTCGAGGTCAGACTGCCGCCCTGACATCTGACCCCAAAGATCACAGCACTAGCTACAACAGACTGGTAAAACAAGTGCAACATCTGACTGCTCACATCAAAGGACCTCAGTCTTCTCGGGGAGAACAGTCTGCTCTGACCTTTCTTATTGAAGCATTGGCCTTAGCTGACCAGTCCATTCTGTGGTCCGGGTGGACTCCTAGGTATTTGTATGACTGTACCACTTCGATGGACACATTGAGAATCAGACCATTTCTCTCACTCCAGTCTGAGAAGGCAGCCACCACCTCCCTTCATCCCTCTCCTTCACACATGCCACAACAGCGGTATCATCCAAGTATTTTTGTACTTTGCATGTAGCAGAGTGCACATACAAGACTACGTAACAGTATGCTGTGACTTTAGAAGACTTATTTTGAAAGTGGGAAGTTTGTTTTGACACAATCAATCAATATGGTTATTTCAGAAAATGAACAACACAAATCCACTGAACAAAATAACATAACACATTCCTGAATGCACTATTTACATGAGTACGAAACATAGACCGTAGAGGGAGTAACCGTGACGCATTGTGTTTGATGAATGATGAATGAGGAAGAAGTGGGAACCAATTTCCCTATATGAGCATTTGTTTACGAGCGGGGTGTTATTCAATTTGTAGTGGTTTGAAAAGATAGGTGCCTCAGCTTTATATCAAATAAATGGATGAAACTCAGCGTTTCCCCCCTCTCTTGTCTATGTGTTTCTACATGTGTGTTGTGCATGTGAAATTGTGTTTGTGTGTGTGTGTTGCAGGGAGGGAGCAGACGTGTCGGCTGTCTGCGTCTTCAGCCTGTCTGATATTAATAAGGTCCTGGATGGTCCTTTCAAAGAACTCAAGAAGTGCGAGAACCGCTTCAATCCTGAGCCTGTGCCATCCCCGCGCCCTGGACAGGTCAGTGATGTGTTCTCAAAGTCCTCACAATGATAATGATGATGACAATGAGGCAGGTCAGTGATGTGTTCTCCACATTTTTATTAATTGATTATGATAATAATAAAAAATAATGTTAAAAATGTTCTGTGATAGGCTTATCTCAGGAAAAAAAAGAGAAAAAAAAGAGAAAAAACTAGTTCACACTAACTCAAAGGCCAACTTTAAGTTGGTTGGTTGATGTAGAACAAACATCTAGTTGTTGCTTGGTAAAGTAAGTACACCAAATTCAAATATTTTCTGCTTGAGGTACATTTTGTCGAACCCCATGTATTCAAATTATGCCTGTGGTCTTGTTTTAAGTGTTGACATGTTTAACATTAGTGATCTCTAAGTGATTTCGCCCCTATGTTTATTTCTTTTATCTATGTATTCCTATTATTTCATAGTCTGCTAAATGTTGAAAAATGCTTATATAGATAAATCGATGGGTACTTTATTGATCCCCCGTAGGAGAAATGCAGGTGTCCAGCAGCAGAAGACTCATCCAGGTCTGTTGTACAGTCTGACAGCCAAAAGTAACAGAGGATCTCTTGAAACGTTCCGTTCGGCAGCGCCGTGATAAAAGTCTGTTGCTATTGAATTATCTCTCTATTTCTAATTCTCAGATTCAGATTCAGAGAACTTTATTGATCCGAAAGGGCAATTCATTTGCAGCTTAAACTCAAAGCAGAACACACATACACTACACAAACACACAGTATGTCTCACAGTTCACACAGCAGCAGGTTACACAATTTAAGTTAAAAACAACATTGAACACAATTCCCAAAAGTCAAACACCTCTACCAGAGTTCAACCGTTTTATGGCAGAGGGCACAACATTTTTTTAAAAACTGTTTGTTTTCCGTGCTGGAGCATAAAAACTACGCCCTGAAGGCATCATTAAAAAAAAAGTGTTAAAGTAGTTCTCAAAACCAAAAGGTGTGAAGCTAATTTCATACATTCCTTAATTCCTTAATAATTTTTTTCCTAAAAATCTGTCCTAAATTGAACAATTGCTCTCAGGTGAATTTTAGCTTTCACTCATAAGGAGGTGTGTGTTATATTGTTTATATTTGTCACTGTTCTACCATAATGCTATTTTTGTATTTTTGTTGCACAATGCTGTAGAATTGCAAAGAGCATATGCAGTAAATATGTGAAATACATACGGTACATACAGGACGGACGGACAGACAGACGTGTCTTGCACTCCGTTACCTCACTAGAGTTTCTCAGTCTTCATGTCAATGAAAGTGTCTGTGTCAAAACAATAAGTCCTGACACCAGTGTTTATGAACGACACAGTCAAATGGTTTAGTTAATGACACTTTACTCTCTAAGTCAGATCTTGGTGACACATAGTAAGCACTATACACTGTAAAGCCAAAATCTACAGTAAAGTTACATATGACTGTAATTAGTGAAGTAACTGAGGACACGACACATATGTGTATGTATGTGTGTATGTACTGTATGTACTTTATGTCCATTATTTTGATGACACAGTTTCATTGACATGAAGACTTGCTTTTGAGGAATTTACTTTTCATTTTGAGAGAGTTATGCACTTTTAATAACAATAATAATGCATCAGTTTTCTATAGCGCTTTTTTGGACACTCTCATCTCATTATTCATTCACTCCAAATACGGTGGTGATAAACTACTACTGTAGCCACAGCTGCCCTGGGGCACACTGACAGAAGCGAGGCAACCAGTATGTGCCATCGGCCTCTCCTACCACCACCAACCATTCATTCACACACACCAGACTCATTCTAGGCAATGGGGGTGAAGTGTCTTGCCTAAGGACACAACGGCAGTTTGGCCGCCCCACTGTGGCTGGAGTTCCCAGAGGTTAAGTGTCTTGCCAAGGATACAACAACAGCAGACATCTGTGGGAGTCGGTGGAGAAGGTCCCGTGGTGGGCTCGAACCCATGACCTTCAGGCTCAAAGGCCAATGCTCTACCAACTGAGCTACTTGTCGCCTTTTGCAAGTTTTCCACGAGGTTTTGCAGTTTGCACTAATTGTTCTGAGAAATTCACTAACTGTTGTGCAAATGTGAAGAATTATGTGACAAATGCACCTAAGTGACTGAAAAAAACTAATTACAAAATGTATACAGTATATGCATTCTCAGGGTACGCAGTCCTTGCACTGCCATGGCATCTCTTTTTGCACTGTCCACATGTGTATCTGTGGTCTCACAGACCACTCTCTCCACTCACTCGCAGCTCTTCCTCCCTTACATGAATAAACAAAGCCCACCCCAGCCCCCTGCTGTTTTCGGTCATTGCCTACATTTGCAAATAATTTTTTCAACCATGCCAGCCCAAAAGAGGTGTAGTACAACGCTCGGTCCAGCTGCTGGCGCTACTACTAACTTCAGTGACTACCTTGGGATCCGAGTTAAGTTTCCCTTCCTGTTTACACTCGGCTACTGTGGCCAACAGCTCGTGGATGGCTTGCGTTCTTTGCAATCAGTGAATCAATTGTGTCATCAATCAAGTGTGAGATGTGTCTTTCTCCAATGTGCAGCAGCTTAGTGAGTAACGCGTGTGTGTGCAGGCGGGCAGCGGACACGGGAGCTTGCCTTAGAGTAAACAGCATGAGCCTGAGGAATGAATGAATGAATAGTTTGACTTTCGACCAGAGCGACCGGAGCAGGATACAAGTGATGTTGGCAGAAATGCGCAACAGCGCTACCGGCTCTAGAGAAGGAAATGTGGTGTTGCGTTCTTGGCCTAAATGGGTTAATAATGAGAAGAACCACTTGGACAGAGAAAGACTAACATTTAGGTCTTTCAGCTTCTGAAGTAAATGAGGACAGACAATATCAAAGGCTGAAGAAAAATCAGCAAATAGAACACAAGCATAGTCATTTGTGTTCTCTAAGTGTTTGATATGAGACAGGCTCACAGTGCCCAGCCCCTGCCTGTAAAGCACATCGATAGAGTAACTGGAGAAAACTAGTTGCAAGGCGGCTTTTGGCAACTGAGAGTAGATGATGGGAGATGATCAGTTGCCCGAAATCGGTCGATGTGAGCGCTCTTACAACTGGAGATAAACAGTCAATCTCCGGATTCAGTCAGTTGCCCATGTTCTACTTTTCGGCAACTAGTTGTACTCAGATCCGGAGATATCACCCGATGTGCGCGCTCCAACAACATGTGTTGAGAGTGTTATCATGTGACGTATTGTGCGCCCTCTACAGTTTATGCCAGAAAACACACTGTAGTTGACGGCCAGTTGCTGTCGATGTACGCGCTGTTATTCCCGAGACTGGCCTGCTACTAGGAGTTGCCCGTTTTCGCCAGATTGTCGATGTGTGCGGGGCAGCAACTCATAGGCGACAGATACAGTATAATCAGTTGCCAGTCCGATGTACGCTAGGCATAAGCAAACTGCAACGGGTCAAGCGACTGGGACACCTCTGACCTAAGCAAAGTTACTGGCTGGTTTACCCTATATAGATGAGAGTGTCGGATACGACCCCTGTGCAGATGTTTTATAAGTGAACAATTTTCTCATGAACGGTACAAGATAGCGACTTACTCTTTTTCTCTCGTTGAAGTAAACATTCCAGGCTTCACAAAACTAGTTTTGGTTTGTCTGTGTGACATAGGGAGGATAAGAAATGTGTATCTAAAAGTCTCGTGAGGTAAAAACAGCCAATTGTAAAGTTTTTTACTCACACCGGGTCTGCTGAAGATCGTCAGAGAGTAGGATGATTCACTCGTCTGTGTGTAATTATCGTCCCACATTTGAAACCACTGCTGCGATTGCAATTACTGATGCGTAAAAGACACATTATTTTAGCGGAATGTTGCGAAAATGTGTACCCGACACAGATAAAGTAGCTTTTGATCACTGATCTACGTGATCTATAAGTGATGTGAGTTCAGAGTCTGGGATGGAAAGTGTTTACACAAGGAGATGAGGAGATGCATTAGCATCAGCGCTATAGGAGCCAGCACTTGGCTGATGAGTGAGTGCCCATTATTAATATAGACAATAATAAATGCAGTAAAATTATATTATGTGTATATGATGTACATATATAAGATGTTTTTTTTTCTTTTGTTTTACGTATTTTACAGCTGTGATACTGAAGCAACCCCAGCCTCATAGCAGACAAACTGCTTCAGGAAGGGAATTGTGTATAGCATGTCATTGTGTTTTTTCAATACATTTTTGGGAAAGTGATTCTTCTTTCAAGACTTTGGGACCACACAACTCTAAGCAGACAACGGAAAAATTGGAAACCAAGCCTCTGCAATATTTCCAACAGGCCGTCAGGACCAGCAGATGTTTTGGAAGACACATTGCTAAAAGTGGTTTGGACGCTGATTAATTTCAATTGCAGTATAAATCCAACACATAGTCAACATCTGTTACCCAATCATGTTGTTTATATAATTGAATAAAAACTCATTTATATTGTTGGCACACTCATTTATCGTTGTCTGTGTTCATGCATGATATCTTCCTCATCGAGTGCCCACGTTTTTTGTTGTCCTTAGGCCCCGACTCCACCAGCTCCGTAAAACGTACTACAAATCCGTCCAAACGTGTCCGTTTCATCTTAGTTTCCGTTTTCTTCATAAGGGTGAATGGAAATGGCTCCACTGCCCGCGACATGCGTATGGTCCGTTTTCCATTGGAAATACAAAGGAAAAATATATTTACTGCATTATTATACATGTATTGATATATGCTTGTAGTCCTTGGTTTAAAGTGTTTGTTAATGACAATGATTATTAACAAATGTGTGTAATTTTTTTTCATCTGCCGTTTATTTTTTGCGTAAAGTCAATATTGACTCGCTTTCAAAAAAGCCTGTATATGTTCTTTTCTCTCTCTGCCCCTTTTTACCAATTGCTTTCAATAAGTTTTACCTCATCCATCGCAACGTCCTTGATGCTTCAATATGCCGTGCTTTGCATAGATCTTTTATTTGAGCTGCGCGCTGCTGAAGCTGATGTAGCCACTATTTGTCCCAAGTTGTCCCAAAGCTCCCTTTTAAGCGCTCTCTTTCCCTTTTCCTTGCCATTGCAAGTACCACATTGAGCGCCCTCTGAGCTGTGGCAGCAACTACTCTCAACTGCCTATACAACTTAATTCATTCCTATGGGACAATGTCTGACCTTGCCACGGTCAGAAATCTTTTTTTTGCCCTCATTGGTATGGTGATGAAGATTCCTGTACTAAATTTTGTATCAGTCAACGATATGTAAGTTAGTAAATGTTGGGTCCCATTCTATTTAGCTGTAGTACGATTACAAAGTCATTTGAATGCTCACACACAACAATTGTAAATCGTTTTGTGACTCTTGTCTGCGAAAAGCGCTATATGAATAAAGATTACTCACTTTCTCACTTAAAGCTGGACTACCTCACTTTATTTTTGTATTCATTAGGAAAGCTTCAGCCAACCCCTTTTCCAAACCTTGTGCATTTATTATATTATTCTGTTTTGTAAAATTATTTTAAATAACAATCATAGAAATGAATAATCCATCCATCCATCCATTTTCTTCGTCTTAGTCCATTTTTGGGTCGGGGTGTGGCAGTCAAAGCTGCACCCAGTACAGAAATGAATGAATGAAAATAAAATGAAATGAAAATTCAATCCATGCAGTGCATTGGGGGATATACAGTATGTACTTTTGAAGAATAAGTAGCGCTGGAGTGTAATTTTATTTTAGATCAAGTTTTTGCGCATCACCGAAGATAATTTATTTTGCGACCTTGTTTTGGGACCAGATTTTGACCATTCACAGCGTACCACTGGCCCCCACTTTCTTGAGAAAATCTACAGGTTATCGCGCACAGACAGCTGAGGTAAACGAGCATCATGGCGGAGACGAACCAGAAACGTCCTGTGTCTTTGTTTGTTGTATACAGCGAAAAAGCCATCCAAAAGAAAGTCCCTACAAGAACAGAGAGGCACGCGATAATTGCGGTTGACGAGACTACTTTAGCACTGGGGCATTCAATCAAATGAGGAACAAAAAAATACTTGTGACATTTCCATTTGTTTTAGAGCCAAAACAAGAGACGTATCCAGCTCTGTAAACAACAGCACACGAGCACGCGCTTGAGTGGGAGGGTGGTAGTGGGAAGCGAAAGCTTTGTGAGTGCGGGTAAGGGAGCAGAAAGGGCGAGGGCAGCGCTTAAACTGAGAAACTGAGGCGTCAAAAAGTGATAGTCCAGCTTTAAAGTGTAGAACCTCAATGGAAGAAGAGTGCAGCCCATGATTTGATATTTTTGGGTGAAAATGTAGTATAGGAATAGAGCCTGGTCGTTTTTGCTAATTGCTTTGCAGCGTCTCAGTCTAAACAGGGCTGTAGTGTCTGCTTAGACTGCTGCCCGCCCCCGACTAACTAGCTGGCTGCTGAATTCTGCTTGTAGTGTGCACATAGTCTCAGTATTTACTCTGCAAACACTTGTTTCCCCCCCCTTTTATTCATGTTTATTCGTTTTATACAAAGAACAAACATAACCCACACAGACACCAGTCAGGGAAACAACGCAAGGAGACAAAACATCTGCCAAACCAGAACTGACCTGACATAGATGTGGACCCTGGCTGTTATATATAATTTTAAAGCAATTATGTCGTCCCCTGTGCCCACAGTGTCTGGACCGTGAGCTGAAAGAGGCCGGCTTCGACTCGTCCCTAAAACTGCCCGACAAAGTGCTGACGTTCGTGAGGGATCACCCACTCATGGAGAACAGTGTGACTGCAGCGCCCCTGCTGGTGCGCAGGGGTGTACGCTACACCAAGCTGGCAGTGAGCCTTGTGCAGAGAGGGGGCGACGGCAGGGCCCTGCTGCACATTGGTACAGGTGGGGCATTGGCTGCATTTTGCATACTTAGAAAGAAGCCCTGTGAGTCTTTGTTTGGCCGTTTGAGCTAAGTGCTGGTCCTTAGCGCTGGTCCTGGTCTTTATTTCTGAAAGGCTGATCTAAATATATGACAGTGAAAGTAGAATGATAAATGATTTTTTTTTTATAAAAAGCTGAAGCTTTTCAAATTAAAATCAAAAATTAAATTTCGAAAAAAATCCGTGTACCCTTCGATCATTAGTTATTCCGTTTCAAAACAAAATCAGAAAAACAAATTACGTGGTTGTTTTATTGTATTTCCATTTTCTAAATTAAATTGGAAAATCAAAACATTCTAAATGAAATATTCACCCATTTCTTTGCTATGCAGTGGAAACAAACACTACTAAAACAACTTCCATTATTTTGTTTGATATCGCTACCGGAAATGATGAGTGGTGAGAGACGGAAACAACTGCAAGCTGCACTCAACTCAACTCAACGACACGACAACAACTCGCGCTGTTGTTGAGCTCGCCCCCAGGCCCGAGCTCCAGGGGCAAAATGCTTACAGCACCTGGTATTCCCAGGCGGTCTCTCGTCCAAGTACTATGGGGAAAACTTTGTGCGCGCTGCTCTCAAACAGAGAGAGACGGCTTTCTCCATTCATTCTGGATTACACACGCACTCGGTAAGTCTCCTCTGATAAACACAATGTTTTTGTGCTCGTTCTTTATGTTTCACTCCATAAATCTCTCATATTGTGCGTAGATCGTTCACACACGTCTGTAGTTTAAATCTCGAGTGTGTAGTGCGCTGTTTATGATTGTTTACCTCCGTGTCATATGTTTGTTGCTGCTGCTGCTGCTCGTAGATCTCTCTGTTTGGATCAATATTGTAAAGAAAACACTTTCTCTGCGTTGTCAAACAATCTGTATTCACTGTATTCTACTGTATACAGTAATGCAGTTGTTTACGTCTGGTTGTAGTAGTATTTCCAGCGCTAGCTAATTATTATTAGCTAATTATTGTTGATGTGTGTACTATCTATATGTATTTCACATTTCTATAGTTCAGCAACACATTGAGTTTAAAATGAATTATATGCAGTTAGTTTACGACAATGTATTAGTGTTTTACCAGTTCATATTTTCCTTCTATAACTGTACTTACTGTATCCCAGAGCCTCATGCTGCTAATGTCCAGATGTAAACATACAACTGTATATGTCTTCTCTAGATTATACAGGATTCATGCTTCTTTATTATGCTAAATTTGATTATTTTATTCTTTATTATGCTAAAGATATATACATTATACATACTTCTCTATCATGCTATAGCTAGATATTTTATGATCTTTTTTTGTTGTTGCAGACAATATGAAGACATTTTCATTCTTTCCTGGCCGCGTCACTGTGATTTTTCGCAAGGGCCCACGTGGATTCCTGCTGCAGGACCCTTCGGAGGAGGCGAGGAAGATCAGGGACGACCCGTCCATGAGGGAGTGCGGTGCTCCTCAGAGGGAGGAGGTGGTGAGGGAGAACGCCCTCACTCTGGTGCGAGTGAGAGGAGGTGATGCCTCAGACAAGGCTGAAGTGCTGGGGGAGTACATCGTTCGCTCACAGCAGGCAGTAAGACCAGCACAGTTCCTGCTGTCACCATGCCCCCTGCAGCAGTGAACCCCCCTCCTCCTGCTCAGACTCTCATGTCACCGCTATCTGAGGAGGCCATAGAGAAGGTTGTGCAGCGGATCTTGGAAAAGCAGCAGGAGCCTCCAGCAAATAAACCCCACACAAAGAAATGCCTGAAAAAAAAATTCAAAAAAAATTGAAAAGATACTACAACCATGGAAGGGTGCATCATTAACCTTGTATGGGAAGGTAGCATTGATAAATTCCTTAATAGTGCCCCAATTCGTTTATTTATTTATGTCACTTCCCTCTCCATCCAGAAGTTTTTTTAAATTATATGAACAAAAAATATTTGAATTTATCTGGAACGGTAAACCTGAAAAGATAAAGAGGGATATTTTTTACAATAATTATGAAGTAGGGGGCTTTAAATTACTAAACTTAGAAGCATTTTGTTTCGCTTTAAAAGCCTCTCTTGTTCAGAAAATACACAAAAACCCTAATTGGTATATAAGTGCTTTATTGGAACAAAATCATGTGATATTTTCAACTGGACTTTTCATGTATCTGCAGCTAGAGAAAGCTCATATGTCTAATGTAATAGATCTTATAAATGATGGATCAATGTTTTTAAAAGAAACTCTTGAGTGTTGGTTATGTTTTCAATTCAACCCTCCAAATAACCGTGATGAAATTTTACAACAAATAATCTGGTTAAACTCAAATATACTGATTGAAGGGAAACCCATACTTTGGGAAAATGCAATCAAAAGGGGAGTTGTTTTTATAAACGATATCATAGGGGAAAATGGGAAGTTAATGCAATATGATCAACTTATTAGTACCTATGGAGATATCTGCTCCCCTCTTTCATATAATCAGCTGCTCTCTGCCCTGAAGAGAAATTGGAAAATTAAAATTAATAGTGAATGTAGCAAGTTATTAGTTTGTCGGCCTGTGTTACGGAACTATAGGTGGTCGAAAGGAAATAAGATAAATAGAAGTATACATATGTTTTATCTCCATCAAAAATTAGCGATAGCCTGGCCATATAGAACTTTTAAAAAATGGGAAGATCTGTTAGATCAACCGATTTACTGGAAGATGGTTTTCAGTACAATATATCAAACTGTGGTGGACGCGCACAGCAGATTTTTTCAAATTAAAATTATATATAATTTTTTACCTACAAATAAAATGCTTAAAATCTGGGGTCTTGCTGAATCCGACAAATGCCGTTTTTGTTTAAGTGAAATAGAATCTATTGACCATTTATTTTGGTACTGCCATGTGGTGGCGGCCTTTTGGGAAGCAGTACAGCAAATATTCAAAGACATGAATATAAAATGTCAGTTAGGCCTGCCTTCGGTGGTGTTGGGGTTTCTTGGAGAATCAAAATGGAAGCAATTAATTAACCTAATTATTCTTTTAGGTAAGAAATTTATTTTTAAAACCAAAAATACGGCTTCACTAAACATGTTAAAATCTGAAAAAGAAAAAAATATTCATGAAAAACGGTGGTCCAGATTGATAGAGTGGATATCTACTGGATAGTAATACTGCTTTTATTTTATTTTATTTTTTTATGTATCTTTTTTCTTATATGAAATATATTACATCTGAAGAAAAAAGTGTATGACAATTTAAAAAAAATTTCTGTTATTATTATTGATATAGCTATTTAGCCCCCCCTTGTCTAACATATTTCAAAATGTAGTCTGAATGTTTTTTTTGCTCTTTTTTTAATTATGATTATCCTTTTTACCTTTTCTGTAAAATGTATTCATTCATATTTTCTAGTTTGTATTGTTTAGTCATTTTTCAATATTTGCTTACTGCATTCCCCTGATTTGAGTTCTGAGGAACGTGTGCGTGTGTGTGGGTGTGTGTGTGTGTGTGTGTGTGTGTGTGTGTGTGTGTATGTGTGTGTGTGTGTGTGTGTGTGTTGTTTGAAGGTGTATTTGTTTTTGTTTTTTGTGCCTTGTTGATATCTGTTGTCCTGTCCTTTCATGTATGGTTTTAAGTTGAAATAAAATTCTAAAAAAAAAAAAAAAATTTGTTATTCAAGTTTAGAAAGGAAAAGATCAATAAACAAATGGAAATTTAGATTTTCTGATTTTATTTTGAAACGGAATAACTAATCGAAGGGAATCCGTGTACCCTTCGATCATTAGTTATTCCGTTTCAAAATAAAATCAGAAAAACAAATTTTCCATTCGTTTATTGGTATTTTCGTTTTCTAAATCAAATTGGAAAATCAAATCCTTTATGCTTCAATATCAATGTGTTTGTTTTGGCTCTAGTTGTTTAAAATTCTCAAAAGAATTATGGCATTACTATTATTTCGTTTTATTATTATTTGCGACACCGGAAACTTAGAAACTATTGGTAATATAACGCTGAACGTTATTTGACTCAAACAGCTCCGCTGGTGTTTCCTCCCACTCAGAAAAAAAGCAGACGCCTTTTCTCTGGCATCTCTAACATTTATAATAAATACATAAATATAACAATCATAATGAAGATGCTTTCAAATAATTTAGCAAGCTGTAATTCATTTATTTTAACTGCCAAACTTCTCTCGCTGCTCCTCTCCTCTCCTCCGCAAATCACTAAATGAGGAAAAGGGAATATTCACTCAATCTATTTTGAATGTTACACATACAATATTAATATAGTCTAAGCACGTGTACCACATGTAGCCCGTGTATTTACCACAGACTGTAAGTATTAAAGTAATGAGGCCCCTGCTTTAGGCCTCTGCTGTGAGGCCCACAGTCATCAGTCTCGGTGCCTCTGTGTAGATCACACGTCTGTCCTCGGGCTGGAGTGTTCTGAGGCTTTAAGCGGGGAGTCAGGAAGGAGCGATCCTGTTTGTCAGCATGATTTTTTTGTTTAACAGCCTCCCTGCGCGATTGCAAATGTACTCAAGGGACTCCCATACCGTGGCTCACATATATAATATTATATAGGGATCAGGAGCTTTCTGACCCGACCCACCCGCACCTGACATGACTCATATTTTTGAGGCATCCAACCCGCCCGAAACCGCGGGATCCGCGGGTTGACTGCGGGTTTCGGGCCGACCCGCGCACCTCGCATGTCCTGTTCAGGGCTGCAGGAGCAATTGTCCATTATTTTAATTGGACTTCTGGTCCATGCACACTGTAAAAAAGATAAAGTTAGTTCAACTCAAAATTTCAAAGCAACCAGCTGCGAAGGATTTTTGAGTTGAAGGCATTAACTTAATTCTTCAAGTTTTGAAGAACTACACTTATTAAGTTGTGTCAGTTAAGTTTTCCAAGTTCTGCCAACTAAGTGTTTAAATTCAAGTTACTGGAAATTTCAAGTCTGTAAAAACTTACTTTTTTAAGTTCAGATT